GTAGAGTCAATCATCATATACTGTATATATATGGTGTGCAGCAATTACATTATTACAGCTGTTCTGTGAATTGTTTACCTTGGGACAAAGCCAGGCTAGCTGTTCCCCTCGGTTTTCAGTTTGTATGCTAAGCTAGGCTAATTGGATGCTAGCTTCAATTACATATTTACCATACAGACAATCATCATACATATATAATGTGTGCAGCAATCAGATTATAAGAACTGTTGTGTGAATTTATTTTACCTTAGGACAAAGCTAGGCTAGCTATTTCCGCTGTTTTCAGTTTTTATGCTAAGATAATTGGATGCTAGATGCAACTACATACCGTACACAGACAATTGTCTCAGCTAACTCTTGGCAAATACAATTATTTATATAATTCCAAAACTGGCACACTATTCCTTTAATGGTCTTTCAGCTTTTCAGATTCCCGGAATGGGTTTGTTTCATTACACTGTACTCCTTTGGTCTTCATGGAGCGCCTGCAACCTTTCAAAGATGAATGGACATTGTTCTCAATGATTGCACCAGGTTTGCAGCAGCCTACCTAGATGATGTGGTAATCTACAGTGAATCCTGGGAAGAACATCTGCAGCATCTTAAAGCTGTGTTGGGCAAGATACAGGAAGTCGGGCTAACCCTGAATGCCAACAAGTGTTCCTGGTCTCAAGAGGAGGTGAAATACCTTGGATACCTGGTTGGACGTGGGCAAATACGACCACAAGTTGAGAAGATAAAGGCCATACAGGTGATACCCAGACCCCAGACAAAGAAGCAAGTGAGGTCCTTTTTAGGCCTGGTGGGGTGGTACAGAAGGTTTGTTCCCCACTTTGCTACATTAGCTGCCCCACTTACTGATCTAACAAAAAAATCTCCCACTAAAGTTGTGTGGAATGATGAGTGTGAAAATGCCTTCCAGGCATTAAAGAGGCAGATCTGTCAAGCTCCTGTGTTGCAGAGCCCAGACTTCACAAAACTATTTATTGTGCAAGTTGATGCTTCTGGTGTTGGACTAGGAGCAGTGCTAGCCCAATACAAGGAGAGCCTGGAAAGAGAAGCCTATACTGAGTAAGAAACTGTTTGACCGGGAAAAAAAAAGTACTCTGAGGAAAAAGAGGGACTGGCTATAAAGTGGGCTATAGATTCATTGAAGTATTACCTTCTTGGAAGAGAGTTTGTGTTGCAGACAGACCACAGACCTTTGAAGTGGATGCAATCTAAGCAGCATCAGAATGCAAGGATTCTACGTTGGTGCCTAGCCCTCCAGCCATACCAGTTCACCATACGGTATTGTCCCGGTAAGAATAACCTAATAGCTGACTATCTTTCTCGTTTGCCTGACCTGTGCAAGCCAGAGGGGGAGGAGGTGTGAAATGTGAGGAAGCGCACACACTCCCTCACTAACATTTTGGCTTAACTATTTGTTTGTTAAGAAAGGTAGTACATGTTTCTTCAAAGTTGTCTTTATTTCAGTTAAAGTTATAAAAACAGTTTACATAGAAAAACTAACAAAATGCATCGAAATGAACTTGTCAGTCTTTAAAACACACAATCACAAAGTAATCACCATTTCCTCTGTTCAGACCTGGAAGCCATCTTGTGCCAGTGCTCAAAGGGGGAGCACGCCTCCAAAGTACTCCTTATATGTGCCGTATGAGTAGGCGGAGTCTTGGACATGATTGGTCAGGAAATGTGTGATTGTATGAGTGTCAATTAGGTTAAAAATGATCCGTTTTAAGCAGACCTTGTTGTTTTTGAAGGTACCATATTTATGTTGATGCAATTATGAATTTACTTAAGCCTTTAGGGTTTTATTAAATGTAGACAATAGTGTTTAATTTTGTATTTAACCCTTCACTCCGCTTTCAGAACCATGACCTGATTGGCCAGGTTGGATTGGGAAGGCGGGCAGTCTCCTATAAATGTGGTTGGGAAGAGAGGGGAGGGGGCATTTTGTGTTTGTTCCTTGCTGGTGAACGCAGCACCAGGCATGACGTTTTGTGTTCCTGTAAAATAATATGGAAGGCTAAGAAATAAAACGCCTGTTTATTTTTTAAAGAAAACCCTCTCTCCACGTATTGTTTGTTCACCTGCACCTCACATTGTAACACACATACATTCTCCTAAACTTACAAAGTAAGGACACCTCTGTCCTTTGAGACAAACACAAACACCAGTCTCACCTCTTCCTGTCTTCCTGTATTTCTTCTTCTGGGGTTTGCCTCTTCAGCCTGATTTAGGATGATGTCAGCTAGTTAATTATTAAAGGAGGACACAACTCTGCTCCAAACATTCACCATGTGAGCGGTAACTAAAAATGCTCCAAGACAGACACAAGAGACTTTAAAGCTGAAAATGAATTAATTAACCTTGGATTTATTCAGCTGTGATTTCATTGTGGATAAAAAGGAAATCAATGTATCTCCCCTGCTCACTGCTGCCTGTTTCTGTTTCTCTCCTGAGTCTTTATTCCTTTGCCTGCAGAATAACAATCAGCTTTGGTGACGCAGCTGATGACTCAGGACACCTTGAATTAAAAAATATTATCTGGCATCATGTTTCTGTCACCGTAAGGTGTGAACGCTTGATTAATGTTCAAATCACTGCAGATCCATGTTCTTTGGAGTTATCATTTTTAACTCTGACTAAACCCAATCACACAGAAGATGACCTAGAGGAAATTCATTTCTGTGTTCAAATAATTATATATCAATATTTGTTCCACTTTCACTGAGTTAAATCTTAAAAATGTAACCCTTTGAATTCCAGTTTGTTTAGATGATTCCCCTGTATTTAATGGGGGGAATCACAAAGTCAGTACTAAATAGGAGTATGCTTGGGAACATTTGAAATATTGATTTTGACGCATTTATATTTTTTGTGTCAGCTTAAAAAAAAAAACACAATGTAACAAAATGTATGCCATATGCCTAAACAATTCCAAAATGAATAGCATTTTCAAAATTTGAAAGCCAAATATACATCACTATTCAGGCTCAAGGTTTAATTTAATGATTTTCTATTCTATTTAAATAAGAATCTCATTCTCATGTTTTTAAATGTTTTATTTGACTCTTTTGGAGATATTTTCCTGCTCAATTGTTAATGTTCTTATTTTTTGCAGATGTTTTTTTGTCCCTTTGTAACACATTTGGCATTCCTTATGGTGCATGAAGGAAGAGCTTTGACAGCAGTACAGTGTGAATGAATAATAAAATATAGCAGATGGACAAAAAGAGACAGAAAAATACCACAAAGGGACACACAATGTCTACAAAGAGACAAGAAAGTGCTAGAGGAAGACAACAAATCATCACAAAGATCTACTACAGAGACACAACATCCCCAAAAGATGCCTACAACTATAAAGAGACAACAATTAAGGGGCGAAAGCACCAGTGTCCAAATCATTCACCAAATGTTGGTTGAACCTCTATGTGGGAAAATCTTTAATCTGCATATTTGAATGCATTTTGAGTGTGAACTTAAACACTAAGTTATCGTCTTTTGATCATCGCAGGTTGAAGTTGTATGTACAGTTCTTCATCACAGTTAGTATGATTTTAATGATTTATACAGGCAAAAGTAGGTAAACGCATTATTCACAATGAAATGTAAAGAAAAGCATTGTTTGTATTTCTTTAATCATCTTGTGACCCCTCAACCCTGCTTTGCATGAATAGAAAATGATCACAACTGACTCATGATGCATCCTCCCTATCATGCCCCTGCTCAAAACAATGCAATCTAACATCATGAGGGCCTTCACAACCAAACTACAATATAATGATGATTAGTATGCTTTCCATCGCAGAGATAAATCAATACAAACAAACAGCAGTCATCACTCTTTTAGTAAAAACAGCCCAGTCTCTTTGTAGTAGCAGTTTTTATTTAGAGTTTATTTACAATGACTCGTTTTTTTGTTATTCTCACCTTCTGCAAACAGACATTTATTTAAAAAAATGTATATTAATGTGAGCTTCACATTTCATCCAGAACATGTTGTGCTTTGCTTTATTGCATCCTCATGCTGCATTCAAGGACGTGGGAATTTTATGGGGCGAGGACTTTCCTGAGACAAGTTAGGCTACTGGCCAAAAGATATTTTAATAAATAAATACTTCTGATCGATTTTCTTAACATTATTTTAAAGAAATATCTCTAGGTATTGCAAACTATGGTTTTTGGGCTCAGCCAAATACAAAGTACAAGTACAACTTTGAGGTTGACTATTTGTAGTGAAATGAAGTAGTAATTGAAATGAAGACAAATTGTTTACTTTTTAATGCAATAAATGTACATACCAGCTTTAGTTGATTTAGAAATAGGGATTTTTGCATTAAAAACACAAGAGAAGTTTATCAAATATAACGGTTTGATTTATATTTTTCCAAATGCAATGATAAGTCCATTCATCAATTGACAGAAATTAATTGATATTTTAATAATCTTTTAGTCATTCTATAATTTATTTTTTAATAAAGACATTGCATTTTTAATAATGTTGGGGAATTATATTATTTGCATTTGGTACTTTTACTTGTAATGTGTTTTTCTGATTATAATTACATCTAATTATAATGTTAGCCAGTGAAAGCACAAGTGTCAGCAGCTCATGTAAACGTTTTGGGCAAGTCCAGAATGTCAAAGTAACATACATGTTAATTGATGCTACATTTATCTGTTGCTAAGTGACTTAATTTATTTTTATTAGGTAACATTGGCATTTCAGGAATTGCTATTGCAGCAGCATATATAACATTGTGGTGATACTACTTTTACTCGAATAAAAGAGCTCAATATTGCTTCAAATCGACCTATGAGTCGCCGGTTGTGGTCGACAGTATGAATTCCTACATCACTTGGACGCAGGATCGTTGCAGAGAAGCGCACCGCCGCTCTGAGCTCCGATTGGACGGTAGCAGCGATGGGCGGGGCCTGTCTGCAGGAGCGCAGAGACAATAGAGAGAGAGAGAAAGCGGCTGCAGGGGGACTGACTGACAGCGGCGGAGCAGACAACCACAGACTCCTGCTTTATTCCAAATACTGTGAAGAAGAAAAACAACAAAAATAATTCAAGGATCTGTTCCCAATTCAGTTTTAGTTACAATAAGGTGTTGTCTGGATGGATTAACACATTGCATGCAGCACCGTTTGAAAGGTAGGATCAGATCCTCATTTCCTGACCGGTTTGAAGCACTTAACTGCAAATGAAATGCTCGTTTGTGTCTTTAAATGTGTTTTTTTAATTCATTCACAGCTAATATTCTGCTTTGTGTAATTGCATGTCTTTGCAATGCTCTGTTGCAAAGCATAACACTGCAAAAGTGTTGGGTTTACAAGCCGGCTTTGTCATTTACCCTCTTTTAAACTGCTTTATTTAAATGATAAATCACGTTTTATATTCTGTATAATGCGAAAAGTTGGACACCATGTGACCAAACACAGCCTGAGCAGAACAATGGAGCTGCTGTGAAGCTTTTGTGTCCCAGCTCCACATCTGTACACCGCTATATGTGGGATTTATTGTTTACATGCTACATTTCTACACATTATTTTTCCAAGGCGAACAAGCTTACTGTGCACGCTCCTGCTCTACCTGCACTACACGTTGTGTTCATTAGGATGCTTGCTTTGTGTCTGCAGAGCTGGTTCACTCCATGTCTTTGTGCTGCTTTTGATGATGACTCCCAGACAGTAAACACTGAGACTGAGTCTTGTGAAGGGGGATACACTGTGGATGCCTACATCCTTGATGTATTATTTAGTACATTATTTGTATTGATGGGAACTCTCTTTATTTTGGGGTCATGGCTTCTAAAAGCTTGATATGGCTGCAGAAATCCACCGTGGATTGATTAGTCGATTAATCGATTGATGTAATCTACAACTATTCTGATAATCCAGTATCCTTTACAGTTTTTTCAAGCAAATGAAGGTACCCAGAATTCTCCGGGTTCAATCAAATATCATTTAGGCCTATGTAGCCATTTTATTATTATTATACAACTAAATGATTGAAAACGCTTCATCAACTAGCTAGCTACAGCTAATCAACGGTCTCAACAAAGATACTTGCAAGCTAGAATTGAAGAGCTACTTTTGTCTACTTCCTTCTAAATTATAGACCCTTGGTTTTAAAACATTTAGCATTTTAAGTGAATTTGACTAGTATCGTCAAGTTTTAGACATTTTTGTTATAATAGAACAATACATTTGAAGACAATACATTGGGCTCTCGGAAGACTGCTTTTAAACTTGTGTTGGACATTTTTTTTGCTTTAATACATTCATTATATTTAATAAAACAATTAATATATGATTCAATTGTGCTGCACTATTTGCCTGAAGGGTCATGCATGTTCGTTTCACCTTGATATTATATATATTTTCTATAGCCATGAGACAGGGGGAAGCTAACGTTAGCTTTCAAGGGGCAAATTTACCCCTGATGACGTCACACTGGTCTCTTGGGAGAAGAATCAATCAATCTGGAAATAATCGTTAGTTGATTACTTACTAGTTTTTTTTCTGGTATTCTTACTGCAATAATCTATATTAAGTTTGATCAGTATTGATAGAAAATATTGCCTGTAGTTTTTCTGAAAACCAGCCTCCTTGGCAGAGAAGTACTACTAAAATGAGATCGTTAGCTCCTTTTTCCTCGTCTTAATTCACTGAAATCTAAATATCTTCAGGTTTTTTAGAACTAGACATTTGAAGATGTTACCTCTGGGAAGTAGTGTTGGGTATATGCACAATCAATTATTCTGAAAATGAATTATCCTAACAGCCCTAAACCAGACACACACAAATCTATATCAGCAAATAGGCATTGGCTTATTGTCCCAGAGGGATATTTGTTTCACAGCTTGTACACAGCAGCAACATATATAAAAAGTACACTCAATTATCCCAGATAATGGCAGTGTCAGTGTGGCAGATGGCTCATGGCTGCTGGTGCAGAAGGAATAAAACTCATCTTGAAGCAAGCTCTTCTCCCTGTTCGTGCCCTGCTTCTCCATCCATGTGGATATAATGTGAAGTTATCATCGAGCACTCGATCAGTGTCATTTATTATTGTGAGTGCTAACGCTCTGAGATTCAGTGAGTAATCTAGCAATCATTTTCTACATTAATCATTTGGTCTTTAAAATGTCCATCCCAGTTTTTCAAAAGGTTATTAAATGTCTTGTTTTGTCAGTGCAAAACCCACTCACTTTAAAGAGGACATATCATCCTCATTTTCAGCTTCTTATTTGTATTTCTGCCTCTACTGTGACATGCCTCCATGCTTTAATGTTCAAAAAGCTCTTTATTCTTCTCATACTGTCTGTGCTGCAGCACCTCTTTTCACCCTCTGTCTGAAACCAGAGCCCAGTCTGCTCTGATTGGTTAACTGGCCGGCTCTGTAGAGATTAGTGAACTGTTTGGAGATGCCCCGCCTCTTAGCCTATCCCGTACAACGATACCTATCACGTACAACGATAGCTAGCCAATAGAAGTGCTAGTGTTACATAGTGATGTCACTATGTTACGGAAGTAAAAGAAGGAGTCTAATGGCGCATTTCCACTACAGCACGGAGCGCGGTTTAAGCGTGCCGTGCCGTGCCCGGCCCGTTTTTGGTTGCGTTTCCACTTGGCGTAGTACCGGCTAGCGGGTACTATTTCACAGTTTTTCTGGCCCCATAAAATCGAGGTTCTTAGCGGGCCAACAACCAGGCTGAGTCGGGCTGAGTATGCTAAACTAGAGAGAGAATCGCTGGCAAGGGGGCTACAACTACAACAAGATGAACATATTTGACCGTGATTTAATTGTAATACACGTTTCAAAATGATGCCGAAGTAACAACATACTGATACCGGCTAGTGAAAACCATGAATTAATGCTTTGACAAGTCTGCAGACAGACGGCAGGCGAAAAACCTTTTAAAATGCGTGTTGTCTAAATGGAGATCGGCTAAGCTAACGTTGTATATGCTCCGACCGTCCACACTCACAACAACGGCCTATACAGACATAAATAAAGCAGCGGCTGTATTCGCCATGACACAGGCAGTCTGTGGTTTGTACTTGTTTAACTTTTGTCTAGTTTCTGAACATATATGAGGAGCTGTGAGCTCTGAGTGCTAACAGCTAACGGCTGATGTTGTTTTTCTGTGTTTCGCATTGAAGATGACGTCACGGCTCCGCCTACACTGCGTTACTATAGTTACTGACCCAGCTACTAAACTGTAATGGAAACGCAGCATAAAGTAAGCCAGTCCTAACAAGGCCTAACTATACCGTACTAAGCCGAGCGAGGCCCTGCAATGGAAATGCGCCATAAGTGTTTCAGGCTGAGGGGGGAGTGTGTGGGAGATAAAGAGAGATGATTTTCAAATTAGTTGGTGATTCAATGTTCTGTGGATCGATTGGTCGACTAATCGTTGCAGCTCTAGACAGTTTTTCGTCGCACACTGATGCATGTTTGCACACAGCAGACAGGGGATCATGCATTAACAGTGCAGAGGGAGAAAGTGAGAGCAGAAGAAAAAGAGGCAGAGATTAAAGCAGACAAAGGGGGCAGCGTTACCTACTGTAGCGTGGGGTTCACAGCAGCAGAAATGGGTTGGCATTAAAGGAGAGCGCCCAGTGATGCGCCGCCGACCATGCACACACAAAGCCCCAGTGTACGCGCATGTTGGAGCCCGAGCCGGCTTTGATGTGCTCCACAGCTCCATGAGAGGCCTGCAGCTCGGCCCCCTTTGGAAGAGGGAGTGAGGGCCAGAGCTGTGGCTGTGACGGCTTTAGCTCTTCAAACATTTGCGCAGGAAAGAGCTGCTCGTGGTGCAGAAATAATGTCCCCGGTTGTGTTATCTCAGCGGGCAGATTCAGAGAATAGTATTTTACACATGTTGGTTCACTGGCACTGACTTGAATAGGTAAGAATGACAAAAGGCCCACAGAGACTGGTACAGGGGGGGAAGACAAGCAGGTCTGATTGTGCAGTCGAGGCATCGTTGAAAAGCTGACAGTCAGTGGGAATGTCAAAATACCAGAAAAGTCGTTTTTGAAACCAATATCAGTGGAATTCCCCATGGAGTGTAGTATTTTTCTCGTCTAACCCTGAAGATAGCACTGCAAGGGGCTTGCTCAACCAAACACAATGTAACTGGGAATAATGTTCGGCGTCATGACATAAAGTAGTCTAATTTAGTCACTTAGTTAGCAACACTTAGTTAGCAACAGCTGCTTTAAAGACAGCTTTAAATAATCAGGAGTGAGGTTTTTGCTGACATATTTTATGTTGCAGAACAACACTTTAAAAGCTCTTAAGCCTCTGCTAACCAGACTGTTTTTCAAGCATCTAACCAAAAACTCATAGACTTCGAGATGATTACATTACTTGTCACTTGTTAGACGCTTTTATCCAAAATCGACTTACATACTCAATACTGTGGGCAATCCCCACAGGAGCAATTTGGGGTGAAGTGTCTTGCCCAGGGACACAACGACATGCTGACTGCAGTGGGGTTTGAACCTGTGCTCCCCTGATCCGAACACCAACTCACAACCCACTGCACCACACGCCCCCTTTGATCAAACCGAAACTGCCAAAGTGTTCCACCTTCCTGCACTGCTCTTTCCAATATCACGATAAAAAACTAAACAAAATCCATTAATCAACATATTGCATTTGAATACTGTTTATTGTTCGGAAGTTAAGAAGGCCGTACTTCTTTATAAATCATAAATGATTGGTTCCCTTTTGAAATCATTGATGTGTTCTTGCAGAGCAGACATTCTCCCTCGTATGGTTACTTTTAAGTTAATTTGTGAATTTATTGAGACATCTGTTGGCTTCAACCTAATTTACGACTATAATGCCCCTTTCACACCGGCGCTTTTCCAGCTCCTGCTGGGAGCTAGAGCCTGAAAAGCGCCGGTTTTTCCTGTTCACACCGCAGCGGCGGCGCGTCATAGCTCAGGAATGCGGTTCACTTCCAGCTCCAAAAAGTTGTCGGTCCAGAGGCAAGAGCTTTGGAGCTATGACGCGGCGTCGCTTACGTCGAGGCGTGCAGGAAACCTTACTTTGACCATCCGTTCGCTGTTATTGATCATTGTGGAGAGCAGGCAGACGTTTTGTTTGTTATTATAGCAGCTATCGGATGGAATTAA